CTTCTTTCAGTACTAGTGACAACATTACTTTTAGACTTCTTTCAGTACTAGTGACAACATTTCTTTTAGACTTCTTTCAGTACTAGTGACAACATTTCTATTAGACCTCTTTCAGTACTAGTGACAACATTTCGTTTAGACTTCTTTCAGTACTAGTGACAACATTTCTATTAGACTTCTTTCAGTACTAGTGACAACATTTCGTTTAGACTTCTTTCAGTACTAGTGACAACATTTCTATTAGACTTCTTTCAGTACTAGTGACAACATTTCTATTAGACTTCTTTCAGTACTAGTGACAACATTTCGTTTAGACTTCTTTCAGTACTAGTGACAATATTTCGTTTTAGACTTCTTTCAGTACTAGTGACAACATTTCTATTAGACTTCTTTCAGTACTAGTGACAACATTTCTATTAGACTTCATTATTAGACTTCTTTCAGTACTAGTGACAACATTTCTTTTAGACTTCTTTCAGTACTAGTGACAACATTTCTTTTAGAGTTCTTTCAGTACTAGTGACAACATTTCTATTAGACTTCTTTCAGTACTAGTGACAACATTTCTATTAGACTTCTTTCAGTACTAGGAACAACATTTCTATTAGACTTCTTTCAGTACTAGTGACAACTTTTCTTTTTGACTTCTTTCAGTACTAGTGACAACATATCTTTTAGACTTCTTTCAGTACTAATGATTTTTTTATGATTCAATTAATATCAAGAACATCTTTTCTTTCCGTCTTTCATTATTCCTCTTATTTGTTTAATATAGATTATCTGTTAAGACTTCTGTCATTTATTAAGTATATCACCTCTATTAAGCTACTGTAATTGTATAAGTACAGTTTGTTTTTCTTTAAGCTTCTGTAATTTTCTAAACATCGTTTCCTTTTCAACTTCTGTAAATTTTAATTTCAACTGTTTCCGCTGCTAGTTTAACACGTTTATGTTTATTTTACTAAATAAGTTTTTATCGGCTTTTATAATTAATCAAATACAGATTTCTTCTAGACTCCAGTGAAATACTTGTAAGTTTGAGGGCTTATAACGCTAAACATTTGATTTCAATTTCCTTGGTGAGCAGAACCTAGGTAGTACGTTGTCTAGCTTGGGATTAACAACAAACGTGTCAGATTTCTGTTATTTATTAAGCACCATTTTCTGTTTTTATCCAGTATACTAAACATAGCTTCAGTTTCAGAAATCATTTGTTGTTGATGTGTTTCTAAAATTTCGAGATTTAGGTTTTTGTAAAATAGGATTATAAAATAAAAATACAAATATCTCTTTTGAAAGCTTTGTAGATTTCTATTTCTGTTGTATTGTATTTTTACTTTCAGAAACTTTGGTACCAACATGTATTACCGTCTCTGAAGTCCGAGCTACAATCTCCAGAAGTATTAGCAATAGCTCTACGTCCTGTTTTGTACATTATAAACGAGAGTACTCTTGATGAGTACCAAAACCTCATCCTGCCGATGTTTCGGAGCGTTTTCAGCATGCCTAAATCTGTGCAGGTAGCCCAGTTTCTAACATTAAGTCTATACCACTATCAAACACAGTTAAAATGTAACCCTAGTTAAACATAACTGTGTATAATGTAATATCAGATTGGATCTGTAATTTTCCAAAGTATATAACTGAAAATATTGTTGTGAAGAAGCTTTCTCACTGTTTTCTTTTGTATTTTATATGATTTTTTCATTGACAAAGTTAAATACTTATACTGCAAGTAATATTTGAGTACGTGTAGCAACGTCCTTCTCTCTGTAGTATCAATGTAGCAATGTTCTTGTCTCTGTGATGTCGTGTAGCAACGTCCTTCTCTCTGTAGTACAATGTAGCAATGTCCTTGTGTCTGTGATGTCGTGTAGCAACGTCCTTCTCTCTGTAGTACAATGTACCAATGTCCTTATCTCTGTGGCATCATGTAACAATGTTCTTGTCTCTGTAGTACCGTGTAGCAATGTCCTTGTTTCTGTGATATCGTGTAGCAACGTCCTTGTCTCTGTGGTATCATGTAGCAAAGTTCTTGTCTCTATGATACCGTGTAGCAATGTAGTTTTCTTTGTGGTACTGTGTAACATTGTCCTTGTCTCTTTGGTACCGTGTAGCAATGCCTTTGTCTCAGCAGTACTGTGTAGCAATGTTCTTGATTCTATGGTATCGTGCAACAATGTCCTTGTCTCTGTGGTACCGTGAAACAATGTCCTTGTCTCTGTGGTACCGTTTAGCAATGTCTTTGTCTCAGTGGTACCGTGTAACAATGTCCTTGTCTCTGTGGTACCGTGTAACAATGTCCTTGTCTCTGTGGTATCGTGTAGCAATGTCTTTGTTTCTGTGGTACCGTGTAGCAATATCATTGTCTCTATGGTATCGTGTAGTAATGTCCTTGTCTCAGTAGTACCATGTAGCAATGCCCTTGTCTCAGTAGTATTGTGTAGCAATGTTCTTGATTCTATGGTATCGTGTAGCAATGTTCATGTCTCTGTGGTATCGTGCAACAATGCCCTTGTCTCTGTGATACCGTGAAATAATGTCTTTGTCTCTGTGGTACCGTGTAGCAATGTCCTTGTCTCAGTAGTACCTGTAAAAATGTCCTTGTCTCTGTGGTATCGTGTAGCAATATCTTTGTATCTGTGGTACCGTGTAGCAATGTTCTTGTCTCAGTAGTACCGTGTAGCAATACCCTTGTTTCAGTAGTACCGTGTAGTAATGCCCTTGTTTCTGTAGTACCGTGTAACAAAGTCCTTGTCTCAGTAGTACCGTGTAGCAATGCCCTTGTCTCAGTTGTACTGTGTAGCAATGTTCTTGATTCTATGGTATCGTGTAGCAATGTTCATGTCTCATTAGTACCGTGTAACAATGTACTTGTCTCTGTGGTACCGTGTAGCAATGTCCTTGTGTCTGTGATATCGTGTAGCAATGTCCTTGTCTCTGTAGTACCGTGTAGCAAAGTCCTTTTCTCTGTAGTCCTGTGTAGCAATATACTTGTCTCTGTAGTACTGTGTAGCAATGTCCTTTTCTCTGTACTATCGTGTAGCAATGTCCTTTTTTCTCTTGTGTCGTGTAGCAATCTCCTTGTCTCTGTAGTACCGTGTTGCAATGTCCTTGTCTCTGTGGTATCATGTAGCAATGCCCTTGTTTGTGTGGTATCGTGCAGCAATGTCCTTGTCTCTGTGGTACTGTGTGCTTGATCTAAATAACTACATATTCTTTACAAAGCTAGTTCCATACAAATGTCTAGTGCAATTTGTTTCAAACAATCTACCAGTTGGTGATCAGAGGAAGGTTGTGGTATAATCCCAGAATTCCTTCTTACAGAAAGAGATCCTGGAGTGGTCATTTCAAGCTGTTGGTAAGAATCTTTAGAACCAGATATCGTTAAGCGAGAACGATCGATAAGTGAAAGATTATTTTGCTGGAAAAATGATTTCGCCTACTAACCAAAGATTTTATGATAACACTTGGTACATGTTCGCTTAAGTTCTCTTAACTTAAACATGTCATATCTAGGTTCCTTGCTCAATGTGTAGAATATAGCCCACAGTCCTTCACATCTGATGATAGATTATTGTTTCATCTGTCTGCCTCCTAACTCATTACTGATCATCATTTGAAGAAACTAGACGAGCCATCCCTCATCCATTTTACAACTTTCACAACTAATTAAGATTCCAGTAAAATAAAAAAGGTACCTAGAAATTTTAGGGTGTGCACACCCACGTACGTATATACAAAATAACACGAGAAAGCCATATTTTGCTTCATAAGGAACTGGGACCTCACAGTTGGTGTCAATTTACACGTGTTCACATTATGTAAAGTAAAGACATTGTGAATTTGTTGTAAGTACGACGTTCAGCAACATTTTTACAATTTTATCGTTTCTCTTTATATCTTTTTTTATTAATCATGATTGTTTATTGTACAATGAACTTCCAAACAAAGATTGAATTTTAAATTGTATGTTTCCAAACATTGCAATTCTTTTTGTATTAATTCCAATATTTTCAGCAGTATTTACTTTCTTCTTTCAAGCTAAGGTAACTATCGTTGTTTTTGACTCTGTATTTCTACTTACTGAGTAAACTATCGTGACCATCATTAGATGGGGGTAAAAAAGCAACATCAAAGTCTGAATTTAAATAACTTTATATTTATACAAGAAGTCATTAAAACAAATTAGAATGTAAATAATATTGTTATCTGCTTCTTTGTTAATTTCCCGTAGAAATTCTGTCCGAGAAACTTCAGCGATACAACTCCTTTCTTAATTAACACTAGTTTATTCTTTCTCAATGCAACTTTTTATAATACACAGAATTTCCACAGTCACTTTAAACTTAACAACCTTTATAACATACGCTATAAATCACAGTGATTCACGCACTTTACTTGCAGTGCCTACTGTTCGCTTGACTTAATTACCTATTTCTTCAATCACGCTGGATTTTCTCATCAGGCTTATATGCTAAAAAGAGGGCGTCTCGAATGCACTCGGGCCTTCCTGATCATTCATGAAATTCCAGCGCGCATGCTCCCAGAGTCGCGTGACTTCCGCTGTCGTAATACTGCCCATTCCATAGTACTGTTCGTCCCGAACAATAACCACTTACATTTAATCAATAGATAATTAACAATAACTTAATTCAATGTACAGAATTTACAAACACAAAATTAAAATACAACAAAGTCTCTTAATTTCACAGGACGTATCTTCTTCCGTACTGGTCTCTGTCTCATTGGCTTCTGCTTCACGTGGGGTTCAGCTGCTCCATCAGGAAATGTCTCATTATCGGTAGCAGTCACGTCAGTGGTAGTAACTTCATTAACGGCTTCACTGTTTTCCTTCTCAAAACCGGGTATAGTTTCTTCTTCGACAGTGGCCTTTCCAGGTGACACGACTTCAGCAGCGTCATTTGTTCCGTTGTTCACTTCGTTCCAACTGAAATGTCCTGGACCATGATAACGGCAAAGCCTGTTGGCATGCACCACCTTTGGCTTACCTTGCCAACCATATTTTATTCGAAAAGTCACGTCTGAGAGGCGATCCACTATGTCATATGGGCCTTCCCATGGAGAAGACAACTTAGGATACTTCCCTTTGATTTTCCTGGGATTATACAACCACACCTTGTTTCCTGGTACAAAGCTGACTTCAGTAGATCTCTTATCATAACATAACTTCATCGAATCAACAGACGTTTTCAAGTTTGATGGTGAATATCATCCACCCTTTCAGATAACACTTTCACAACTCTGACACATTTTCAGGCAACCCTTCGTAAGGTGGGCGTCCTGTTATCAGGTTCACTGGCAACCGAAGTTCCCGACCAAACATCAGGTTTGCTGGAATGTATCCAATGGCTTCATGCCCTGCTGTTCTATAGGTCATCAATAGTGGAGAGAGTAAGACATCCCAGTCATCTTGGCGGCTATTACAAAACTTTGCCAATTCCTGTCCCAGTGTCCAATTGTACTTTTCTACCATTCCATCAGACTGTGGATGAAGTGGCGTTTTCCTGGTCTTTCGTATGCCAAACAACTTGCAGCATTCATAGAACACAGCTGATTCAAATTTACTGCCTTGATCTGAATGCAGTTCGTATGGCATACCAAACCTGAAGAAGAAATCACTAATAGCTGAAGCTGCAGTTGTAGCTTCTTGATTTGGTATTACATATCCATCAGGCCACTTTGTGAAATAATCCATCACCACACAAATTTACCTGTTTCCAGCACGAGTTTTGGGCAAAGGACTAGCAATGTCAACATCTACTCTTTCCATTGCTGTGCCAACTTTATATAACCTCATTGGAGCACGTCCCTTATACTTGGGTCCCCTTTTAGTACAACATGTACTGAATGTTCTGCACTATTCGTTCACATCTTGCCTCATACCTATCCAGTAAAATCTCTGTCGTAGGTGACTTGACTCAATGTCTTCTTAACTCCGAGATGTTCTCCTGTTAAACTAGCAGGGGATTGACGCAGCACAACATCCCGTAACTTTATCGGTATAACCGTTTGCCAGATCGTCACTTTCCCATCTGCAGTTTCCCATATCCGGATAAGACAACCATCTTCAAGCTTCAACTGGTCCCATTGTGCCCAATATTTCTTTGTCACAAGGCTTAAGCTAGACTTCTTCTCCCAAGCAGGGCGCAAAACACTTGCTTGTAGAAAATCAGTTATTGGCTTCAAATCTTAGTCTTTCTCATGTTATGCTTTAATATCTATACCTGGTTCCACTTCGTCACCATGAACACCTTCAGTCACTTTGATGTCAGCTTGATGGCACCTGGTTAGTTCAACCTCTCTTTTAACGCTTATTGGAATTTGGCCTTTGTTGTTCTCAAACTTCATTTTATCAAAATTAATTACAAACTTCCTCGGTAGTAAGTAGTCCAATCCTAATATGCATTCGTCTTCAATGTCAGCCAAGTATACTTTGTGTCTGTCCTTCATGCCTATGAGCTCAATAGTTACCCACACTGGTCCCCACAATTTTGCA